TTTATCACTTAAGATGTCATTATTACCACCCAGCTTAGTGGGATTTGGGTCCCATGACAAGTTTTTTTAAACTTTTATTTAATAAATATAAATTTCCAAAGTACAGCTTATGGATTACAATGGCTTTTTCCGCCCCATAACTTCCTTCCCACCCGCAACCCTCCTATCTCTTGCTTCCTCTCCCATTCCATTCGCATCAAGATTCATTTTCAATTATCTTTATATACAGAAGATCAATTTAGTATATATTAAATAATGATTTCAACAGTTTGCACCCACACAGAAACACAAAGTGAAAAATACTGTTTGAGTACTAGTTATAGCATTAATTCACATTGTACAGCTCATCAAGGACAGAAATCCTACATGAGGAGTAAGTACACAGTGACTCCTGTTGTTGACTTAACAAATTGACATTCTTGTTCATGGCGTCAGTAATCTCCCTAGGCTCTTGTCATGAGTTGCCAAGGCTAGGGAAGCCTTTTGAGTTCGCCAATTCCGATCTTTTTTAGACAAGATCATAGTCAAAGTGGAAGTTCTCTCCTCCCTTCAGAGAAAGGTACCTCCTTCTTTGATGGCCTGTTCTTTCCATTGGGATCTCACTCACATCACTCACAGAGATCTTTCATTTAGGTGTTTTTTTTTTTTTTTTTTTTTTTCCCGAGTGCCTTGGCTTTCCATGCCTAAAATACTCTCATGGGCTCTACGGCCAGATCCAAATGCCTTAAGGGCTGATTCTGAGGCTAGAGTGCTGTTTAGGACATTTGTCATTCTATGAGTCTGCTGTGTATCCAGCTTCCCATGTTGGATCATTCTCTCCCTTTTTAATTCTATCAGTTAGTATTAGCAGACACTAGTCTTGTTTATGTGATCCCTTTGACTCTTAGACCTATCATTATGGTCAATTGTGAACTGAAATTGATCACTTTGACTAGTGAGATGGCATTGGTACATGCCACCTTGATGGGATTGAATTGGAATCCCCCAGCATGTTTCTAACTCTACCATTTGGGGCAAGTCAGATTGAGCACTATACCCTTAGAAGTAAGTACATAGGAATGAATGCAGAGCTATATAGCTTTATAGTTACAAACATCCTCCTCCCTCTCTTCTCAGTCTTATTATTTACTGAGATCCATCCTCAACTGACTTTATACACATATGACTAACTCTATGTTGAGTTCAACAAATAGTATGAAGAAAAAAAAAAAAGAAAAAAAGAAACTGTTCCTCAACAGTCAAGACAAGGACAACTCAAGTCATCTCTTCTCAAAGTGTCAATTTCACTTCTTAAGATTTTGTGCTTTATTAGTTCTCATAGATCAGGGAGAACATATGGTCTTTTCCCTTTGGGACTGGCTTATTGCACTAAGTATGATGTTTTCCAGATTCATCCATTTTGTTGCAAATGACCAGATTTCATTTTTTACCACTGTGTAGTATTCCATAGTATACATATCCCATAATTTTTTTAAAGATTTATATATTTGAAAGTCAGAGCTACAGATAGAGAGGAGAGGCAGAAAGAGAGAGAGATCTTCCATCCAATGATTCATTCCCCATTGGCCACAACAGCCAGAGCTGTGCCAATCTGAAGCCAGGAGCCAGGAGCTTCTTCCAGGTCTCCTATGCAGGTACAGGGGCCCAAGGACTTGGGCCATCTTCTACTGCCTTCCCATGCCACAGCAGAGAGCTGAATCAGACGAGGAACAGCTGGGATTAGAACCCGCGCCCATATGGGATGCCAGCACTGCAGGCCAAGGCGTTAACCTGCTGTGCAACAGTGCCAGGCCCATACCCCATACTTTCTTTATCCAGCCTTCAGTTGATAGGCATTTAGGTTGATTGTGAATTGAGCGGCTATAACATGGGGGTGCAGATAACTCTTTCATGTGCTGATTTCATTTCCCTTGGGTAAATTCCCAGGAGTGGGATGGCTGGGGTCATGTGGTAGGTCTATATTCAGATTTCTGAGGTCTCTCCATACTGTCTTCCATAGTGGCTGAACCAGTCTACAGTATTCTCTTATAAGATGGAAAAACAAAACAGTACATTGCCGCTGGTTTGGTCAACAGCAGCCGTTAGCATTTCACACCCATGCAGTTTGCACCTGGATCTTACCCCACTATGGTTCAGGTGAGAGGCATGATCTCTGTGGCTCATTCACTTACTTCAGATGGGGAGAGAAGCCAAGTACCATGCGAGCATGAATTGCAAAGCCTTCATCAGAAGTAAAGTTGCCTTTCAGAAATGGAAACCTCTTTAACTAAACTCATGTTTCTCTACAGGGCCCTGCCCCTACCTGATGTCCCTCCATACCCAGCGCTCTTGCTTCGGCCCCAGCCTGCTTGCCTCAGTGAGCTCTCCAGTCAGTACAGCCTTCCTCAACCATGATTTACGGAGCACAGCTTTTCGTTCAGTTTTTCATCATGAGTTATTTTTTTAAACAATGAGCCACTTTAGAGATTGCCATGAGACCCCAAATGGTGAGGTGTATGGATTCAAGACCACTTCACCTGCCCACTGGTCAGCAGGGCCAGCACAGTTCTAGGCTTGGGGAATACGCTGCAACCTGGCTGAAAACCTTTACCCAGTGTTGTTGTCCGTGTGTGACGTGGTGGTGGCGACTTCTGAGTGGGAGACTCTGAGAAAATTCCTCAGATTCAGGGTAGTGCTTGAGGACCTGTGAATTTAAGTAACATTTTCTCACAAAAAAGGAGAAGGAGGTGCTATATCATCATACTGAATAACTGTAGCTTGCCATGCACTTCAGATAATATTCAAGTTGGATATGGAGCTATACAGTTAAGGTTTTATTGAATACTTTAATTTTAGAAATATGATGTTCTACACACTTCATGGAAAATATCTTAAACTGATCAATGGTGTGTGTGTGTGTGTGTGTGTGAGTGACTGTGCTGGTGTAGCATCAGATACATTTTCCTGTACAAGATACAAGTCAGCCAATTGTTATGCTCTAACTTAAGTGAGCACAGACAACTTCAAGCTCGATTCCATTGGGGTTCTGAGAGAACACAGGATTTGGTGTTCACATTGTAATTGAACTAAGAGACTATTTCTGTCTTGTCTTGTCTTTTCTTTTCTTCTTTCTTTCTTTCTTTTGACAGGCAGAGTTAGTCAGAGACAGAGAGAGACAGAGAGAAAGGTCTTCCTTCCATTGGTTCACCCCCCAAGTGGCTGCTACGGCCAGTGCGCTGCGGCTGGCACACCGCGCTGATCCGATGGCAGGAGCCAGGTGCTTCTCCTGGTCTCCCATGGGGTGCAGGGCCCAAGCACCTGGGCCATCCTCCACTGCACTCCCTGGCCACAGCAGAGAGCTGGCCTGGAAGAGGGGCAACCGGGACAGAATCCAGTGCCCCGACCGGGACTAGAACCCGGTGTGCCGGCGCCGCTAGGCGGAGGATTAGCCTGTTGAGCCGCAGCGCCGGCCTATTTCTGTCTTTTCCACTTCCCCCTCGAAGCCTGGCCATCCTCCCTGAAAGAAGAGGAGCCGCCCCCAGCCTGGTCCAACAGGCGGTCAGCACGTTTTGGCTGCTGCTTCTCCCCTTCAGCTGATGGCCCTGGCAGACACCACCACCGGCTTCATCCCCTGGAAGTCCCCCATGCGTGCGCCATGCTCCATGCGCCCACATTTTACGCAGAACCTTAGACTCCCAGTTGTTATTAGAAGGAATAGGGAATGAAGTGAGTGAGCTAAGGGTTTTCTCAGACTCCTCATTCATCCTCTGAAAGGATCATCACCCAGCCTCCGTTAGTGTTCAGAATTTAGAGATCTGAGCTTCCTGCTTGAATCTAGCTAGGGACCTGAATGAAAGTGACACCATGACGTTCTGCAGATCTCCAACAGGAAACAGCTTCCGTGACACTGGTCCCCCGAGGCAGGGCAGTGTGGCCCTTGCAGGAATCCAGGCTAGGGCCATGTGCTGCCCATCTCCTTCCCATCATTTGCACTTTCTCCTTGGGAGCCCCCTGCCAGCTGTGTGCTGGACACAGCTGATTTCTCCAAGCAGAGAGCCAACAGAATGTCCCTGTCTGGACGCCCAAGCCCTGGCCAGCCCTGCATGCTCCCACCACAGCCAGCTGCCCTCCCCCGGCACTCACACATGTGGCCCTAAGCCTGAATATCAGGCACTCCAGCAATCTCTTGGGCCGTTCTGGCCCTGACCTCCTTGGGCGCCTGACCTCCTGAGTCAACCAGGCTCAGCGCCCAGGGGTCCCAACACGACAGTGGATCTTGCCCTCCTGTGGGCAGCCTCCACAGTTGGTCTTTCTCCCTCTTTAAGAAGCTTTTCTCACTCAGCTCCAGACCACCTCATCCCCCAGGCCTGCTGTCTGTGTCCACAGCTCTGACTCCGTTCTAGTGATTCTTACCCTTGGAACATGGCTCCATCGGGGCACTATACCTGTAGCCTACTTCTCATTTGTGTTCTCCCCACAGTCTGCAGGGGAGCTGCTGCATGGCACACAGGGAGGTGATGGGGTACCTGAACTGGGTGAGAGGATGCTGTGAGGATGCACACAGCACAATGATATGCGTGTGTACTTATGTGTGTGCACATGTTAACATGTGACCCCATGTTGTTTGTGCAGGTAGACGTAGGTTGCTGTGTGGGTTTCATGTGTCTGCATATATGCATGTGTTTTCATCCTGTTTTAAGATGACCATGTGCTTACTACATGTTCTTGCACATGTCTTCATGTGTGTGCATGTATTTACATATGTATGAGACGACATACTTAGCCACGTGTCAAACACCGGCCTGGGGAAGCCACATCACACCTCCCTGATGAACACTTTGATAGACTTGGGGAGGGTTTCTGGACTGCAGTGTCTTCAGGTCAGAAAACAAGACCCAGCCTGCATCGTCCAACATTGGGCAACAATGCAGGGATGAACATGGACCCAGGGATGGGCAGGGTCACCCAAATTCCTATAGAATAAAATACAAACAGATAATAAAATACAAACAGATGAAGAATCATTGACAATGCATTCATTTATTTGGCAAATGCACTGAGATACTGGGTATGATACAGAAGAGTGTCCTGCAACTACAGGACCCGTGGAGACGGGGGTGGGGGGGACCTCACTTGCGCACAGCGCGGGCCTGGGCGTCTGAGGAGTCCTCCAACAACCACTCACAACAGCGTGAGGAGGCTGAGGGTTTTACCAAGTGTCTTCTACAAAGACAACGCGATCCCCCATCCCCAGCAGAGGGCCCTGCTGCTGCCGTCCAGCCTCATGTGCAGGGCTCACCCACATGCAGCAGCACGCCCTGACCCAGAACACGCTGCTCCCCACGGCCATGCAGCACATGGCCAACGAACCGTGGGGTGGGGACCACAGCCCCAGCTCCCAGGGCCAACACGGGTTAGGAGAAGAGAGGTAGGACAGTCCCCTGGGGAGCTGCAGCCTGCCCAGAGCTGCCAGTATCAGGCTCAGCAAGAGGACTGTCGCCGGGCCAGGCCTGCTGCTGCCTTAGGTCATGCAGTGGCACTGTGCCCAGGCCCAGGGCACTGGTTCCCAACTCCTGAGCTGCCCTGCACTGCTGCTGAGGCAGAAACAGGCACCGTGCAGAAAAACCTAAGGTCCCAAAGAGCACGGAGAGCCTGCCATGTCTAACAGAGCCTCGGAGGAGGAAGCAGACGCCAGCGTAGACGCGGCACCACTCACCTCGCCCCTTCTTTCTCTGCCCCTGTAGCAGAGGCTGCCACGCGTCGTCTCTGCCGTGCACACCATGCAGGTCCAGTGGCTACAGCCTCCGCCGACTTCATGTCTGTCTGCATGAGCCTCACCTGTCTGACCCTCTGCCAACCCCGTACCAAAGAACGGCAGGAGACAGATGCACAACTCCTAATCCTCCTCTGGTCCTGCCCCCTCCGTGTGCGGGCCCACCGTGGGTTTCACCATCAGACACAGTGGCAGCACGTCCCATGTCTGACCCCCCAACCCCCGCAACCCAGCCTCGTGCCCCTCTCCATCTGCCTCCCTCCTACGGGAAGGAACGCCCAGGCCCTCTCTGGTACACGCCCCTCCTCTCTAGCCCAAGCCCAGCTAGCAGAACTAGTGCTGGTCTGGGGAGCCCATCACCACCACTGCAGTCACTTCTCCAGTCTCAGCCAGGACCTGCCCACTTGGTCTTCAGCTTGTTCTAGGCCCTGAGCTGACTGCCACGGACACGGTTGGCCTTTCTAGAATTTTCTCTTCAACATGCCTCCAGGCTCCCAGGGGCGCACTTTCCCTCTGCTCAGGGCCACGATAGCATGCGTCTGAGGCACCTGCAAAGGTGACAGTCTGTTCTTGACACCGGCCGCCTTCCAAGAAGCCCCTGTCTCCATGGGACTCCCTGGTTCTGGGGACGCAGCACAGAGCGCAGTACTGCCTCAGGCGAGTGCCCACCACTTTGCCAGCTCCATCCGTCCAATACGAATGGCATCTACCAGTCACTCCGTTAGCCAGGAGCACCATCTGGCCCTATTTGGGGTTCTGTTGCCCAGGATCATCACAGCTTGGGTTTTCTTTCCTTTGTTCGAGTCCAACAGCTCCAACTCAAGCCATCCATCTAACTTCTCAGTGGCCCAGACACCCCGTGGCACCTCCTGCATTCAGGTGGTGTGGGCTGGACATCACACACTGTGCCTTCCTTACACTTGACCCTGCCCTGCCAGCTTTCCCCAGGGCACAGACAGAACATCTGTTATTGAAGGTGCCACCAAGCAGCCCCTACAGACGAGCAAGTGTTGAGTTCTACATGTCTTCTTCAGGCCTCAGTTCCAACTCAAGACTACACACTTCTGGGAAGCATGCCTGGGAGTTTACGGGCATGTCCCTGGATGGGGAAACGCGGGACAAAGTTGCCATTCCCAGGTCCCTGAGCACAGGCCATGCTATGGAAGGGGTTGGCACCACACCCATGGCTGTAGATCTCTTCTCCTCCCTCCCAGAACACAACTGGGGCACACAGGAGGGAAGAAGCCTAAACGGAGAAGAATCCCACATTGGCCATGAGATGTGGTAGAACAGTTTCCTTTCATTCTAGCACTCTGGGTTCACCAAGGTGCAAAACAGCCATGATGGTTCCAGTACCATCCCACACATGACATCACTCCAGGCACCCGGGATCCACATATCCACACATGGATAACGCCACAGTAATACATGTTTCCTTTGTCCTGGCACGCCAACAGTCTAGACTGACATTGAGGGCAACAGTGTGTGTGAAGAGAGAGGACCCCCTGGCAGACTCACAATCCCAAAGTTGCATTGCTCTGATTTAACCCTATATGTGCTTCACTTCAATCTGCACAAAATAAAGTATCTGCTTTCCAAACGTGCTCCATGAAGACCAGAGAACCTAGCTTTTATGTGCAACAGGAACATGCTGGCTTACGTCACTCAGGATAGGCCAAGCTGATTAGAAGGTCACCTCTCCATGTTTGCCTTCTTCACACCAGTCAAGAAGAGAATCCGGGCTGCAGGCTGAATTCGGGAAGAGACCTGGGATGACGCATGATGACACGAGTGACCCCACCCTCCACCTGCTAGGAGAATGCAATCAGTTTGGCGTGGGCAATGATCAGGCCCGTGTGACTTCTGCCCAGGTGGGGGCATTCATGAGCTCGTCACAGAGAGGCCATGGTTCTGTGCACCCTGGAGAGTACAGAAACAGAGCAGCTCCTGATGCATGTGTGCTAAGCAGGCCCACATATCGGAGCCCGGGCTTGGGAAGCCTGGGTTCAAAGCCTGGCTGGGCCACTGCCTGTGGTGACCTGAAAGACACTCTGAAGCTTAAATGTTTTACCAAATTTGTGAAAAGGAGGGAAGAGAACCCACTTGTCAGGAAAGTGTGCTGGGCTGGGCAGAACACCGTCAGGTAGGGCACCAGGTCCTCTTCCAGGAAACCCTCACAACCAGCTTGGTAAAGCAGGTGGCAAGGGACACAGAGGGAAGGAGCACCTCTGTCCAAGGAGCCCAGATGCTGCCCCTCGAATGAGACTGCTGGGTGTTGTGTCCAGCTCAGTTTTCAGTTGACCCTGCCCTTCATGATCTGGGTAGAGAGTCATCAACACATGGTCACTCAGGATAAAGGCTGGCCAATGGTCAATTATAGAGGCACGTGTGTAGCCCAAGCCCAAGCTGCAGTAGCTCTGGCCTAGGCCCCACTCAGCCTCCAGGAGGTCCCAGATGTCCCCATCTAGTGGCAAACACCTGCAGCCAGCCTCCTGGGCGCTAGAAATTCCTGGTGTTGTGACCTTTGGTTCCTTTTCACAAGCCAGCGTCACCACCGCTGATGTGACATCACACGCCTCAACTGAAGAGTAATTCCTATGTCTGCAAGAACAAAGGGTGGCGAAGATTCCTCCTGCGGTGTGTGGGGACCTCCTCTCTCAGCGGGGACTGCTAACGCACATCGGCTCTTCACGGGGAACCGCTCGCGGCACTCCGGTGGTCACAGCTGCAGCCGCGTGGCTGCTCTGGTCTGTGATGCTCCCCCTGCTCCCGCCTGGCTGGGTCACCCACCTCCCGCTTCCCTCCACTGCGCCCTGGGTATCAGATCTTCAGAGTGGATCCTGCTTCTCAAAGAACCACCTCTGCCTTGGCCATGGGGAGTTGGGCACCCCCCTAAAAAGATTGCTATGCTCACAAGAGAGAAGGCTACTGGCCAATCCCAGAGGTTGGCTAAGTAAGAACCAGGTGCGAGGGTGTCATTGAACCAGCACTGGCTGAAGACATCCAAGGTCAGGAGCCAAAATCGAACCTTCTGCACTGCCCCTGCCTTACTCAGACCCAGGTGGGTGCCAGGGCGCAGCCCGAGGAAGGGGAGAGTGGGCAGTGCAAGGAGCAGGACACCAAGCCGCGTGCCTGGAGGGAGTGAGAGAGACTGCCCTTCGGGAGCAGTGCTCGGCCTCGGCTGGCGTGGAACACCTGCCGTCAAGAGGCCGTGGGTTCTGCTGAGAGCATCCCCTCCAAAGGCTGTGAAGCCAAGAGCCCATTCCGGGCATCTGCCCATTGCTGTCTCGCTGAGACTGAGGCGGCGGCTGCAGAAGAAGAGCAGGAGGAAAAGAAATGAGGCCCCTCTGGCCAGCGAGAAGAAAACCAGTGAGACCCTGGAGGCAGGGGAAACTCCCTTCCTCCTGGTCCCGTCCTGGGCCTCCTCCCTCATTCAATCCCTGCAGGAAGGAGGCCTGGGCTTCTCCTGGTGCCTCCTCCAGGAAGGGATTTCTAGGCCCGATTCCCGCACAGAGCTCTTGCTGTGGGCCTGTCTGTGGGCAGCACCGTCTCCATCAGGCAGGGCTCCAGAGCCAAACCCAGGCCATCCCCACTCCATGGGCAGAGTCACCAAGAGAGGGGCTGAGGGGCCACCCGCAACCCAGCTGTCCAGGTCTCCAGGAGGTGGAGGGCGAAAATCCACTGGGGACCTGCTGCAACTGTCTCTGATGGTAACTGGCCAAGCTTGGAGGGAACCTCCCTCCCAGGGCCGCACTTGTGTTACCAGTCCTGCTCTTGCCCTTGGCACACCTGCGGCAGCTGATCCACCTCTTAGCTGCCTTGCTTTGCTACTGACGGAGAGAAGCACTGAACACTAAGAACACCGAGATCCTGCTGGACACAGCCGAGGCCCAGGGCAGTACAGGAGATGCCAGAGGAGACGGCAGCACCGCTCCACCAGCCCCTCCCCCTTCCCACCTGTGGCACAGACTGCAGACTCCCTGCCAGCCCACGTGCACTGGGCAGGTTTAGGTGTGGCTACACCCAGGGCTTCCACTCGCTCTGCCTGCCCCGTCTTGTCTGTCCCTCTGCATCCCTCCTGGGGCACACACAGCAGAGGACATCACACATGCTCCCTGAGCTGCCACTCTGACAGTCCTGCCCCCCTTTCTCCTGTAGCCCCAGGCCCATTGTGGGGGTTGCACCTTCTCATTGAACGCCACACAACCACCCTCAGACTCACACCCTCTTCTTGATAAACGCCCTCCTTTAGGAAGGAACCCCACACCCCAGTGTGTGTAGACAGAGTGCCCTGTTCACCTTTTCAGTGCTATCCCACCCCCAGACCCCCCTGCCAAGTCCCGTGTTATCACTGACGAGCCCACTCCTTCTACACCATCGTTTCTTCTATCATAACCAATGCACCTGCTCACTGGGCCTTTCGGCATACTTTAGACCTTGGGGTCTCGGACATGGACACTCACTGGGCCCCACGCCCAACTCCCCAGCTTTCTCCTAATGCTGTTGCCTTTGGCTTTCTTCCAGGCTCCAGTTGCAGCACCTACCCATTCTCCCACATGCATGAGAGCACGGGTCAGAGACAGCTTGTGAAGCCTCCGGGTTCTTCCTGCCCACGGGCCGGAAGAGTTCCTACCCCTTTGGCCTAGACAATCTCCTTCAGTCCACACTTTGGACCAAGGGTGGGCAGGAGCAGAGAGCTCTCCCCCTAATGCCCACAGAAGTACAGTCCTTCCATCATAGCTCCTGCCATTACGGTCTCCATCCTTGCAGTCGACCTGCAAACGGCCAGCCAAGCCCGCCATCTTTACCATCTCTCATTCCACAGCTATGCTCTGTTTCCCCCTGACTTCAAAGAGAACTGCACCCCAACACAGCACCCAGTGATGGCCTGGCCACAGCCCAAGTCTCCGCCCCTCTGGCTGCATGGTAAGTCCAGGGACCAACTGCAACTTCCAAGCATGCTTTTCATCAGGGAGCTTCCACTGAGCCCGCGTGTGAAGTTCCTGATGGCCACGGGAACCGCTCTCTGTGACTGGAGAGGCCAAGAGCCCCAACACAAGCAATCTGTGTAACGCTCCCTGCAGTGCAGCCACCTGCACAGGACCCCCAGGTGTGGGGGCTGGATGTGGCCACACTCTGCATTTCTTAGGCCGCACAATGCCTAGCCGGCTTTCTCTACTGGGACAGCCAGGACTTCTCCCTTGGGAGCTGTCACCAGGGTTCCTGGCACGTGGCAGGTGTTTTATTGTTTGCCGACCTACGCCAGGGCCAGTGGTGCCTCTGGGACCCACAGCCCCTCTGAGAAGAAGGAACACTGGGGTTGGGTTCAGCGCAGAGCCAGTTCCAGACACCACCCAGGCAGCCTAGGAACAGCCACACCTAGCGCCATCCCCGCTCCTGCTCTGGGTCATGGAACTTTTGACCCAAGTAGCCATGGTACGGCTGCAGCAGCAGGAGGGGCCAGCGCCATTCCCATGCTGCACTTCCTTCTGCTACTGCCCCATCACAGGCCGGGCTATGAAAGGGGATGGCACCACACCATGGTGGTAGACACTGTGGTGCACTTTACCACAAGTGTACCTGGGGCACACCAAGAGTGAAAACCTTCCACACACACAGACACAAACACATTGCCAAGACACAGTTCAAGAGACTGGTGTGTTTCTTTCATCACAGCCCCTGAGGACGACCAGCCTGTCCCATGACCACTGCGGTTGCAGACACCAGAGGATCCCATATATGGACCCCACTGCAGGCACCTAGGGCCGCAGTCCAGCATATGCCACTCCACAGGAGCCAACTCCAGCCCTGGGCTTGGCAGCCCTTGGGCCCCCTCTTTCTATCAGTGCCAGGAAACACATCATGCATTTTCTGGGACTACCACCACGCTGTGATGGGAAGCCCTGTGGTACCCGCCAATCATCAGCGCACCTGTCTGCAGAGCAAGCACATATCATCGCCCAGGTGGTGCCGGGGGGCAGCAGAACACGTGCTGTCACTGCAGATACTTGGGATCTCAGAGGCAGTAGCTCGGGCTCATCTGGGAAAGGCACAGAGGGTGCCATGGGGGACAGGGCCCCACATTTGTGGGGAGGAACCTCATGTGTCCCTTTCGGTAAGAGCACCAGGGGGCCACCCAGCCAAGATGTTCCCTTTGACTTTGTTGAGAAACACATGTGTTTGGAGGCTCTTGATGAGCCTCAATATCCGGGCCTATGCTATGGGCGTGGTAACAGACCCTGGGCACCCTCAACATCTGCCACAGGCTTCACAGGAGCCCCAAACCCATTCCCTTCTCCCGCCATGGACATCGGCACATAGAGAGCACATCCCCCTCCACGGTCAGCATCCCGAGAACGGACAGAGATGCTGCACGGAGAAGAGGCTCAGCCACTGAAGTCCAACTTAACCTGCTCGCTCCCTTCTGAACCAGAGGTCAGCACCTCAAGGGGCCTGTGTGTGACGCTCACTGGGTGGGAGAGCAGAGGGGAGCCACGCACAGCCTCAGACCCCCCTCCCTGACGGTGCAGGGGACCGGGTTCTCCCCAGCGCGGGGCCAGTTTCCTGCAGTCTCACAACTGGCAGGAGGCCCCTGCTGCTCCCAGTGCTCCCTTCCCTTACCCCCTTGACTCCTCGGCTGTGTCTTCTCAGACCGCGTCAGCAACTAAAACCTTGTCCTTGTGGCTCAGCCTCTGCTCTTGGACTCAACATGGAGGAAGACTTGGCATGGGTGAGCCGTGGGGAGCTTGGTCAGACTGCGACAGTTTTCCATGTCCCAGGGAGCAGGATGTGCCGGTGACCTCCCTGCACGATGGCGCCTGCTGATGCTAAGACTCTGTGATCTGAGTGACGGGGATGACAGGCCGGGAGGAGGTGAGGTCCACAGCGGGTGGGACAGGCCCCACCCTCCCCGTGTCCCTCGGGGCGTCTCTCTCAGCGCCGTCACCTCACTGGAGGCAGATCCCGAGTCCTGTGTGGTAGGACAACGTGCTTGCTGATTCTGCTTGGTACAGCATCGACTGTCCTTGTCTGTGCATTTTTGTTCCCTTGAACACAGGCCAGGCATCCTCACACATCCCTGCTTCCCCCAGAGAGGATGGGCTGACGTCAGCTTCCTGCATCTGGAGGAACCAAGAGAGGAAGAGCTCATAAGTACCTGTGATTTTGGTAAAATTTAAGTTAAAACAGAAATGATCCTGTTGCTTAAAAAAAATCAGTAAAATATCTTAATTAACGGCTGGTCTGCTTTAGTCTACCCACCAAGTTTCTAACAAATCAGAAGAGTTGCACCAGGTTTATCCAACCCAAAGGTCTGCTGGGTCCTCGCAAGCTTCAACCACTCTGGGCCCAGTCCTGTCTAAGGCGTTTCACAGCCCGGAGCAGTTTTCAGGCGGCTCTTCAGGTTCAAACACAGTTCAGGAGACATTCATTCATGATGACTCCACGCTCATTTGGACTCTAAAGAGCTAGATGTGAAAGACTCCCTGGGGGTCTGGTGCTGTGACGGAGTGGGTTAAACTGCCCCCTGCAATGCCAGCATCCTATGTGGGTGCTGGTTCATGTCCCGGCTGCTCCGCCTCTCATCCAGCTCTTTATTAATTGCCTGGGAAAGCAGTGGAAGATGGCCCACGTCCTTGGGCCCCTGTACCCATATGGGAGACCCAGAAGAAGCTCCTGGCTCCTGGCTTCAGCCTGGCCCAGTCTGTGCCATTGCAGCCATTTGGAGAGTGAACCAGTGGATAGAAGTCTGATATATCTCTCTCTGTCTCTCACTCTATAACTCTGACTGTCAAATAAATGAAATAAATCTGTAAAAAAATTCTCCTGGCCCAGGATAATTTACAATGTAGTACATGAGACAGAAGACTGACCCAAGTGACAAACAGTGGTTGGAATTAAGATCCTTGGAGCAGGTAAGAAGGGATGATTTATCTCGGGATGAAATGTGAACTGAACCTTCAAGGAGGAGCGAATGGTCAGATAAGGGCTATTTGGAGAAACCAATGGTGAAGAATGTTATACCACTGCAGTTTTAATGACCTTAGATGACTTTAAAACTTACTGTATACTGTATATAATTTAAAACTTTAAAACTATACTGTATACTATATATAATTGAATATCCATTCAATTACTGTTTATAACCATTGTCTATTTCCACTAAACTAGGGTCTTTCTGACTTTTACGTGTTAAAACTTCTTATTTGGTGAAGTATTAAGCCTTTTTACTGTAATGTAAAATATGTCATCTCAAAAACCAAAAAAGGGAGAGGGGAAGGGGGTGGGAGGCAGGGGAGGAGGGAGTAAAGGAGTAAGGGAATATCATCATGTTCTTAGAATTGTATCTATGAATCACAGTGAATCTGTAAAAGTAATTAAAATTAAAATTTATAAAAATGTTTTTTAAAAGAAGGCTGTTCTCTGGTACAAGCCTCAGCATATGAAAGGTTGGGGAACGAAGAGCGAGAGGCAGCCAGTGGACAGCCCAGGGCTGGGCACATGGGCTGAGGGTGCCCCTGCAGGGTTCTCAAGGGCAGAGCGCCATGATGGGGCTTGTTCTTGACAATCTGGGGGTCTTCAAACATTGTAAACAAAGACAACAAGATTATCTGTAGCTTTTAGAAGCATCCCTGTGACTGTGTGACAGAGAAGAATGAGAAGGCCCAAGAGAAGAGGCCATGCAGCTAACGGGAAACTCTGCAGCGACCCAAGCAGAGACGGAACAATGAGGCCGGGTCTACAGGAGCTGATTATGCGGGTGGTAAGGAGCACGAAGGAGGGCGAGGTGAAGTCAGTGACAGTAATGAACCCAGGCCTAACCCAGCCATCTGGCTGGGAGAGCAAACAAATCCTTCTGTCAGTTGTAAGCTCCAATTTTCTTTCCTTTTACAAACAGCTATTTGAGAGGCAGAGGCAGAGATCCCATATTTCGGTTTTTCCCCAAAGGCCCACAACATCCAAGGCTGAGATAGGCTGAGGTCAAGATCCAGGACCAGGCTGGCGCCACGGCTCACTAGGCTAATCCTCCGCCTGCGGCGCCAGCACACCGGGTTCTAGTCTCGGTCGGGGCGCCGGATTCTGTCCCGGTTGCCCCTCTTCCAGGCCAGCTCTCTGCTGTGGCCCAGGAGTGCAGTGGAGGATGGCCCAAGTCCTTGGGCCCTGCACCCGCATGGGAGACCAGGAGAAGCACCTGGCTCCTGCCATCGGATCAGCGCGGTGCACCGGCCGCAGCGGCCATTGGAGGGTGAACCAATGGCAAAGGAAGACCTTTCTCTCTGTCTCTCTCACTGTCCACTCTGTCAAAAAATAAAAATTAAAAAAAAAGATCTAGGATCTCCATCCAGCTCTCCCACGTGGGTGGTAGTGACAACTCCCTGGGTTATCACACTGCTTCCTCCCACGGGATCCTCCCTCTGAGCGTGTGTAGGGAGTGTGCCCTTACTCCCACACTGATTCCGGACATTGCACCCCAGAAAGATAAAAGAGCAAAATTCCACGGTGAAATGTATGAAGTTTGAGGTCATTTCTGATGGCAAGCACAGGAAGGTCTTACAGAAGATACTGACCCTTTCTCAGGGCTTTAGAGCCTGCTGCACGCACCTTCAGGATTCACTCACAATATTTTCAAAATGTCAGAGCACTCTACCACTCACTGAAGACCAAGGCACGAAACCACCTCTCCAGCAGAACCAAAATACAGGTGGCAGTACCAGACGTGCCTCTTTCATTTTCCTCAGCATTCTCAAAGAAGGCACCAAAGGCGAGGGTCTTATGGTGGCCTCCAGTAAAAATTTTATTCCATTCAAGTTGGAACATTGTGAAATAAAAAGAAGCAGTAACTATTCAGAAGAGAATATTATTTGTATTGGTGATAGCCCTGGTTTAAGAACTCCATGATGAATGAGAGCTAAACAGCCTCAAACAAAACTCCAGAGTTGGGAAGACTTGCCAACTAGTAACATGCAGGATTACAGAAATAGGAGGGGGGCCGGTGCCGCGGCTCACTAGGCTAATCCTCCGCCTGCGGCGTCAGCACTCCGGGTTCTAGTCCCAGTAGGGGTGCTGGATTCTGTCCCGGTTGCTCCTCTTCCAGGCCAGCTCTCTGCTCTGGCCCGGGAGTGCAGTGGAGGATGGCCCAAGTGCTTGGGCCCTGCACCCGCATGGGAGACCAGGAGGATGCACCTGGCTCCTGGCTTCAGATCGGCACAGCGCCAGCCGTGGCAGCCATTTAGAGAGCGAACCAACGGAAAGAAGACCTTTCTCTCTGTCTCTCTCTCTCACTGTCTATAACTCTACTTATCAAATAAAAAAAAAAAAGAAATAGAAGGACTTCATGTGTACTTTCAAAGAAAAGAAAAAATTATTGAAGCTGAGCATGCACAGTGAATTTTTTCTAAACTTTGCCCATGACTCTTGTAGCCAGCTAAGAGGCAGAGTCTGGAAACAGAGCCTGGAATGACCAGGGGCTCTTTTCACAGAAGGAAGCCATCGGGATCCCCTACATTACCCTCTCCCCCAGAACACCTCCACATATAAACTACAAAGCCAATCAAACACTGTCTCGGCCCTGTGGACTTGATTACCAAGCCTTGTGCAGAGGCACCTTGCAGCTACTGATGCCAGCCTTTGGAAGCAGATTCCTACCAGGGCACAGAGGAAGGATGGAGAACTGTGTGCTTCAGGGTTCTGTTCCCAGGAACACCCAGATGCCCTTATGCGTCAGCCAACCAGAAGCTGCGGCCTAGTCCCTCCCTTGCCTGCCTTCTTTGGATTAGTCCAGAAGACACTGATGGAAAGAAAGAAAAGTTACTAGGGAGAGGATGCAAGATTACTGAATGGAGAGGACCTGCACGCACCCCCAACACAGACAAAAGCAAAAACAAAAACCAAAAGGCAGAATAACAAAGGAAAGATCACGCTTCCAGGAGATCCACTGAGGCTAAACTTGAGTAAACGAGTGCCAGGAACTGAAAATAACAGAGTCTGAGAAAGCCGGCGTAGAGAGAGGAACAAAGAACAGCACAGTGCCAACCCTGGCTCCCTAGCAGGTGACTTGGCCTTGCCTGGAAGACCTCAGTGACTCCCATCATCTCTACAGAGCACTGCTGACAAGAACCAAGATACAGAACGACTTGGGTGTCTATCATCAGATGAACGAATAAAGAAAATATGTTATATATACACAATGGGATACTACTACTATTTTTATACTGAAATAAAACAAATTCCGTCATTTGCAGCAAAAGGGTAAACGAAACAAGACAAACAGAAAGACAAATACTCCATATTCTCCCTCATATGTGGGAGCTTAAAAAAACTTCAATATGAACACAGAAATATAATTACTAGAGGTGAACACGGATAAGAAGGGGATAAAGGGAGTTTTGATAACAGGTGCCACATCAGAGTTAGATCAAAGGAATAAGATCCTAGTGTGTAACAGGGCACAATGGGCTGATGACAGTTCACAATGACCTAGTATATATTTTATGAACAAACAGAAGAAAGGGGTTCTGAGTCTTCCATCATAAAGTCATGTCAAAGGGGGGATGGGGGTAGGAATTTGTCACAGCGGCAAAGCTGGCACTTGGGATGCCCACATCCCATAATGGGGCGTCAGGTCTGAGGCCTGCCTACTTCGCTTTCCACCCATCTTCCTGTGAAAGCATACCATGGGAGGCAGAGATGATGACTTAAGTATGCGGGTCCCTGTAACCGCACGGAAAAACTGGATTGCATTCCGGCCTCCTGGCTTTGACCTGGACCAGCCCGACCACTGCAGGCATTTGCAGAGCGAACCAGCAGGTGGAAGCAATCTCTTTCCTTCAAATAAAATAAGTAAAAAGTTGTTTTTAGCACTCTGGCCTCATAATCAGCCCTTAAGGCATGCGGATACGGCTGAAATGCCCATGAGAGTATTTCAGGCATGGAAAGCCAAGACACTCTGGGGGGGGGACCTAAATGAAAGATCTCCACGAGTGAGATCCCAGTGGAAAGAACGGGTCATCAAAGAAGGAGGTACCTTTCTCTGAAGGGAGGAGAGAACTTCCACTTTGACCATGGCCTTGTCTAAATATGATCAGAGTCAGTGAACTCAGGGGGCTTCCATAGCCTTGGCAGCTCATGACAAGAGCCTAGGGTGATTACTGATGCCATAAACAAGAGTGTCAATTTGTTAAGTCAACAACAGGAGTCACTGTGCACTTACTCCTCATGTAGGATCTGTGTCCTTAGTGTGCTGTACATTGAGATTTAATGCTATAACTAGTACTCAAACAGTATTTTCACTTTATGTTTCTGTGTGGGAGCAAACTGTTGAAATCTTTACTTAATGTATGCTAAACTGATCTTCTGTATATAAAGAGAATCGAAAATGAATCTTGATGTGAATGGAAGGGGAGAGGGAGAGGATAAGGGGAGGGTTGCGGGTTGGAGGGACGTTATGGGGAGGAAGCCATTGTAATCCATATTCTGTACTTTGGAAATTTATATTCATTAAATAAAAGTTAAAAAAAAAGTTGTTTTAAATGGAGATGTTAATGACCCTGATTTGATCAGCATACACTTTATGCATGTATTGAAGTGTCATCATGCAGCCCATAAATGTGTACAATTATTAATATTTTTTCATTTATAAGGAAGAAATGTATGAAACAGTGGAAAATCATTAGAAGTGGCGTCAAGCACTGGCCCAACTGAGCAGGGTGGACTCTGGGTTCCGTCATGGCTGTGTATGTATAAGGTGATGACAAGTGATATGTGCACAATGTATACATGTATGCAACGCTAATGCCTTCACATCTCATTTCTACAGCTAACCACTGCACAGCCAACAGCACATTAAGGCAATGCCAAGAGATGAACAGAGGTAGTTCCTGTCCTCATGGAATTTGTGGTTTAGGAGGGCACGGAGGGCATTAGCCAGGCGCTAGTACCACCTAAGCATGAGGACTGAACCCCACCCAATCACTAAGTCCATTTCTTATTTGTAAATATCACAGCCTGATTGGACTGTCTAGAAAAGAGCCTGTTACTCATTTCCGATGCAAGGGGTAAGCTTCTAGAAGTTCACAATTTTAGTTTGTGAAGCAGCCAGAGGTTCAGGGGATTATCTGGCACTTAGACAACTTGCTTGACATGAAGATAGAGTTGCAAACCTCACAAAATTGGGAAAACTCTTCAGAATTACAGTACTTCCTGCTATTGGCTGGAAGTCCTACAGGAATGTTCTCCTTTAAAACACACTCACAGTATGCTTCCCACTTAATCCCTTAGTGTTAGTCAGGTGAGCTGAAGGAAAACACGGGTCTAGCCTTCATCTGCTTTGGATCTTGAAGTCAGCTATTCCTGCACTGTCTCTGTTGTCTCGTCCTCTAGAAAATGGAGGACACTCCGGACGTAGAGCTGGGGAGCAGCTACACCGTTCATGTGTAACTGTCTTCAGTCAGAACGCCAGTGACATCCAAACCATTACGGCACAGAATTCAGATACCATGAGTGTGAGCCGAGTGTAGCAGCAAGCGTTTGGTGAGCCCCTGGGAACCAGCATTTGGTGCACCAGTGGGGACACCCACACCCCGTACTGGAATGCCTGGCCTCAAGTCCTCCTTTCATTCCCAGTTCTGGTTTCCTGCAGACAAACAGCAGGTAACTGCTCCGTACTGGGTTCTGTAGCACCCATGTGGGAGAACCAGATACAGTTTCAGCCTCCTGGCTTCAACCTGGCTGTTGTAGGCATTTGGGGGGTCAATCAGTAGATGGAAAATCTCTCTAAATAAATACATAAGAAACAAATGATGAAAAGTTCTACACATACATGTTAGGACTGGGATTACTGTCCACTGGTTAGTACACTAAGAAGCCAGTATCAATGTCACGCTACTTGGGTTTGATACCTCCAGCTCCTGAATCCATGTTCCTACTAATGCAGAACCCTGGGAAGCAGCCGGGATGGTTAAAGTAACTGGGCTTATGCCAGCCTCATGGGAGATCTGGATTGACTTCACACAGACACAGCCATTATGGGAATTTGCGGCGTGAACCAGTGTATGAGACCCTGCCTCTCAAATAAGTTACTGCATCAGCTAAATTTAATTTGGTGTACAAATACTTAGCTATCCACACATTGTTTTCATAACACAAACTTCAAATCAGCACTTTGGAGACCCTTCATATTTGGAATCATCTGAGATAATTTTGTAAATATTAATAAGGGGAAAAGGGTCTAAATATCTATGACATTCCCAAGGGAACATAATTATGTTGTGATAGATTGGGAACGTACTCCAGATCTCCTCCTTCCCACTCCAACGTTCTTTCATGGGTTCCAAACACAGACAAACAAAAAACGCAATTCTTCCATCCTAGGCAACTGAGCTTAGCAAGTTTGAAATTGAAACACGGAGTAAGAAGCAGCATCTAGGAAACTGTGAAGTCCAAGTTAGACACCTACCAGGTATAAAGACGATGATTCTATGCAATGAGTATAACTGATCACTGCAGGGGTGTGTGGACTGCACTTCCCAGCAGGAGGGCAGATTCTTGTTTCTTGGCCCCTTGGAAGTTCCACTCCAGTGTACAATACTAAAACAACATGTGGACAAAATCACATTTAATTCTGCATGCTCTTGTGAGTCCATGAAATGTTCTATGTATCAATTAAATAACCACTTATCTTGATTTTTCTTTTCTATTTGATTCTGTCCAAACCTCTAACAGAGTTTGGAAAGAGACAGACAGGAGGCTGCAGAAGTGAAATAAGCTCCTTCCACATGAAAATTAAGACCCGAAACCTCTTGGTAGTTGGACGCATTCAGAACAGCTGTCTTCATCTTACCGGCAAGATTTCTGAGCAGTAAAGCTGAGGAACTCCTAATGACCCAATTTCCCTTAGCTGTTTAGGTAAGGACAGTTTTCCACTCTGCAAATTCTTCCGAGTGTCAGAGAAAGGCAGCCTGGCTGAGCACACCATGGCCAGCTTGCCCCCTTCGGTGAGCTGAGGCCTACTCTCTCCAGGAGAAATGACCATGGACAGCGACACTAACTATTCCTTTTGCTTTGTGTGACCCAGATCACTTCTTCCCATCTTTAAAACAGACACAGCATACTTGGGTCTCTACAGCGTGTGCTGTTGGAAGCTCAGAGAATCTCTGTTGGCTACCATGATCTTACCGGTAAGTTATGGGTTCCTGGGAAGGGTGTGATCATTTCACATCTACAGCTAAACCATGGTGTAACCTTGAGCACATGCAACTCACTGGTGAGATACTGATCATCGTACCTGCTATCCCTACCTCGAGGGGCTCCTGGTGGAATCAAATAATCATCAGTGCACATGCATGCACCAGTTTCAATATTTGTACTGACTGAAAAAGAACTCTATGGAATGTCATAAAATTCTTAACTGTTGTGGGCACTTGCGAAGTGAACTAGCTGATGAACTAGCTCTGTCTCTTACCTTTCTAGCTCTGTATCTACTGCTCTGTTTCTCAAATAGACTAGAAAAATGTAACTTGGTTTTGGAAAAGCACTTCTTCACACAGAGTTATAAATGACTATCAGGTAAAGTTGATATAGCAACAAATGCAAAGCATTTTTATAGTGCTTTAGACTCATAAAGCATTTTCATTATCTATTTCATCTTCAAATCATCTTCATGGGATAGGTATCATTTCCCCACCAGAGATTAATATATCCTGAATCTGCACTGATTTCTAAAGAGAAGCTGAACTTTTTTTTTTTTTCTTGGTGAGCAAGGTGCCATGTAGCTCCTTAGATGTATTCAAAAGGTGAGATGACAAATGGGACCTCTTCCAAAATAAATTCTCATTGAAGTGGAGCGAGAGAGGGCCTGTGGGCCTCCACAGGGTCTTTCCAGGAGAAATGGAGGCAGAGCAGACCACGGGGAGGCACTGTCTGTAGCACAAAAGGGCTTCACTCCCATGTTATAAGAGGTGTCTCCACCTGCTGCCTGGGGTCCTGCGAGTGGCTGAAGACCAGCACTGAGAGAAGTGTAATTCTTGTGAGTTACAGCTGTTCATGCTAGAGTTGGATTCTTCCCATGGGAATTCTCGACAGTCAAGAGATTTTTCAGTTCACGATATCAGACCAGGAACACATGTCTCTGTGTTCCTCTTGGAATCATAATCAAATACAAGTGTAAAGTACCAAACTTAGTAGACTGATAAAAGCCAAGAGTTTGTGGGAGCCATCAGCCACAGAAAGGTTTTGACAGATTTTTTGGGAAACGAAAAGTAGGCTGCATGGGCAATGGATAAAATAATCAGGCCAAGACAAACCTAAGAGGGAACCGCACAAAACCTGTGTGCCTTTGCTGAGCTCTGGTTAGAGCGCAGGGAAGTGGGGGAAGAAGTGCTGATTCCAAGATGCTGAGTTATCCTAGGGTGGAGTCTTCATGTGAAGAGCCGCGTGGATTTAACTCTGTATGACTACAGTGGATTGCCGGTCGTCAAGACAAGAAACGGGGACCGACTGAGAGGTTTCTCCCACTGTGCGTCTCTGTGGATATTCTCACCACCACAGCTCCAGGCAGTGCTGGCTGTTTGCCTCGTCCCTTCGCATGACTGCAGGTCAGTGCATCATAAATCATCACATTAAAATAATCTCCCCTGGCAGCTATAAAGCATTATTGTTCAAATATATTGAACAACTATTATTTTTTGAAACTATTTTGCTTCAACTATCTTCATTTGTTTAACTACTTTTTCTTTTTGGTAAAAAAATAATGGAAAGAAGATGACTGCAATTATTTATTAAAGATCTGGCATGCGATTAATATTTTTCAGAGCTCCTACAGGAAACAGTTTTCTAAAATTTAAACTAGCTTATTGTCTTTCAAAGAAGCAAACAAGATTACATTCTATGTTGCATGCTGCCTAAATGTCATCAAGGAATTATGTTTAAATGCCACAAGTATATATCATCTCTGCTCCTGGAGAGGTTAGAATTATAGGAGCTAATTTCTTCTCTAAACACACAGAATTTGGGTGTGAGCAAAACTTCAAATTTGTTGGGGATGGAAGTCCAAGTGGCTCATACACTATAGAAGCTTTCTTATGAGCAGAGGGCTAAAGTCAGTTTAGTAACACATGAATTATGCCTCGTGCCACTGTACATCGACTATTTAAAATTTTTAAGAATTTATATTAATCTCTATCATTCTTGGTTCAGGACCCTCTGCATGTCATATTTCTGACACACAACAGCCCCCAGAGACAGAAAAACACTCAGATGAAATAAAACAAAACAAAATTCAAGTACAGAAAGCGATGTGCAGAATTTTTCTTACCAGGCCGAGAACTTTTCTAATCTTCCTTACCAGGCTAAAGCTTCCAGTTCCCAGACAGTACTTGCTTCCCTGGCTCTGAAAACCAAGCGTGCACCTGCTCTCTTGGGCGCTGGGACATCTAGGGCGACCCTGAGGGCCAGCAGCAGGCAGACTTGAGAGGGCCCGGCTGGCAGGGTCCCGGTGACCGAGCTGTGCGGCTCTCACTGTGCCACCACTAACTTGCACGTAAACGATGTTTGCTTTCCAGACGCATCCTCCCGAGACCAGCGTAACCGCGTCTTATCCACATGGAATCATCCGTTCTTTCAAGATAACCGCATCCCCAAAAGCGGCCACGACCAGTAGGGGCTGCAGGCTCCATCAGGGAGGCCGACGGGGCTGATGGGGGCCCTGCACCTGCTGAGACGGAGCCCAGCGTGGGCCGCGGCTCCAGGAGAAATGGCGGCCCACGCCAAGGGACCGAGCCTCGGCGGGGGTGGTGCAGGTGCCCAGGGAGCCGCGCCCGGTGCTCAGGACCCAGGACCACGGCGGGGGTACCTGTGACCGTGGCAGCGCAGCTCGGCCGCACCCGGAGCCCGCGGCGCCCTGCAGGGCCCAGCAGCACCTGTGCCTCGGCCTCCCTGCGGCTCCCGGCCCCAACAGCAGGGGCAGGCACCTGCTCCGGGCGGCACCGGCCAGCGCAGCCCCCGCGTGCCCCGCCAGGCAGCGAGCCGGCCCGGGGGCCATGCACAGGGCGCCCCCGCCGCTGGGCGGGCAGCGGGCTCGGCCCTGCGTGGCCCCGGACACGGCCACGACGCACGGGCCCGGGACCCACCCAGGGACCCGGCCGAGCCCAGGAGCCCGCAGGGCCGCAGCGGCTCCGTCCCCAGGGCCCGCCTGGGCCAACGTCCGCCGCCGTCCGTTGCCGCTCGGACACGCCCGTTGCCGCCAGGCCCGGCTCGCGCCGGCTCGCGAGCGCCCCCACGTGGTCGCCGGCGCGCAGCGGGAGGGGCCGGGGCCGGCCTGCAGCTCCTCTGCGGGGCGGCGCGCACTGCCGGCTCTGGCCGCTCTGCTCTCTTGGGAGCTCGAGGCCGGGGCCCTGGCTGCGGGTTTCCCGGCCGCTTCAACATCCCCCCGCAAGCCCCTCCCTCCTCAAGCTCCTTCACTCCCCGCGCTTTCGGGCGCACGGAGAAGCGGGGGCGCTCTAGGGGCACCTGCCAGACGTCGCACCCCCGACTCGGGCCCACAGGTGCGAATGCAGCGCCTGAGCGAGAGTCAGGGCTGCACACACAGCGCCGTCACCTCCTCTGCCCCTGCCTGACGGAGCCTGAGCCGGGGCCCCAGGACCACCGCGGATGGAGAGCAAGAGAGAAGCGGCAGAGGACTCGCGGCCGCAGCCACGGGCGAGCAGCAGCGTGGACCTGGGGAGGGAGCACCAGCCTGGACCTGGAAGCGGAGGGCGACCCGCTGCCTCCCAGGGAGGCGCCGCCCGACCTCCGACGACCTGGAGTGAGCAGGCCCGGGGCCTCGGCTGAGCGTCTGCTCAGGACTGCGCTGTCCGGGCGCCCACAGCCCTGTGCAAGGCCCCCAGCAGGGCCCCCAGACTCAGCGAGCCGCGGGCCAAGGACGTGCTGGGCGGACAAGGAGATGCGGAGGCAGCCATCAGCAGTCCTCTGCCCGCACCGCGCCCCAGCTTCTGTTCTGAGATGGCGGTGAGCGGCCCCAGCTCCCAGACTGGCCTGCATTGCTATAGGAGGAGACGTGGGCACCGTGGAGAGCATCACCCAGGGTCCAGGAACCCCAAGACCCCCTCAGTAAAATGGAAGTCCTGGAGGATAGAGCAGGCGGCACGGTGGCTCTGTGCCTCTCTCCCCACCCCTCCCTCTCCCCGGCTGGGGCAGAGACTGCAGACTGCCTGACCCGGCCCCTGGGTGCTGCGCGGGTCCTAGCTGCTGCTGCCACCCAAGCCGGCCAGATCTGTCTGCCCCTGCACATCCCTCCGACGTCCAATGTCAGTGAGACCCCTGACTCTAATGCTCTGGCTGCCCCCGACTCTCCTTCCTCGTTCCGTCCCAGACAATGTGCAGGCTCATCCGTCAGTCAGTCAGAGTCCAAGGCGCTGTCCACCGGCTGGTCACCTTCCTCTCCACAGTGCAGCAGGACGTGAGGCCAGCGGACAGGAGGTGGGCCCGCCATGTCTCCAGCCCAGGGGCCTGGCAGCCTGCCCAGCCTCCACACCCTGCACCCCCGGGTGCATAAAGCCCCCTCAGTGGCCCAGGGGCCTCCCACCAGGGTGACGGGTGTCTATGGGGCCAGCAGCCCTCTGGACCAGTGAGGCTGGGATTCAGTGTGCTTCCAAGTTCTAGTTCAGAGCAGTGCACTTTGGGACAGGGACACCCAGCCCCACTCCACCGCCACCCTGGGTCGGGGAACTCGGGACCCACCTGGCCACGGCATCCTTCCTGTGTAGGGGCTCAACTTCCAGTGCTCGCCACATTCCAGATCCACTGTGTGACCTGAAACACAGGCCATCCCATGCCCGCAGACCTCTGGGCTCCTGCTGCCCACCCCAGCACCTGGGACACACGTGGACAGAAACACCTGCCCCTGGAGAGGCCAGATCTTTGCCAAGAAAGATGTCTTAGGGACATGTCTGTGTCCACCTCCCACCCCAGCACCCGGGACTCACTTGGCCATAGCACAGCCACTTGTAAACACCACCACTGTGCCTGTGCTGGGACACACTAGAGTACTTGCCACCTCGCATGCACTGGGGCCCACCTGCCCAGAACTCAGGGAGGGGGGACTGTGGGAGGACATGACCCCATACCCATGAAGCACCTTGGGCTCCCACTTCCTATGAGTGCGCTTACATGCACCTGTGGCCGACCTGCCCAGAACTCAGGGAGGGGGACTGTGGGAGGACATGACGCCATACCCATGAAGCACCTTGGGCTCCCACTTCCTGAGTGTGCTTACATGCACCTGGGGCCCACCTGCCCAGAACTCAGGGAGGGGGGGGGAGCCAACACCCGGGACAGGAAGCGTGTGGTGGGACGCCTGTCCTCCACCACCTCCCATTCTAGCACAGTCACAGAGCTGGAAAACACCCAGTACCATCCCCGATTTGGACACATTGGTACTCCACACCCGGCCTCTGACCTGGAGCCCACCTCCCCAGAACACTGGAGTACCACATAGAGAACACCCTTCCTCTGGTTAAAGCCCCCCCCCCCAAGTCATAGGTGGTGCATTTGCTGGAAACCACCAGCCCTGTGATGGGAGGCCCTGGTGATCCCACCTCCCATCAGAGCACCCAGGACACCCCTGGAGCTGAAAACTGTTGTTGTCACGGAAGACAGCACCATCATGCTGTGACTGGAAATACTCCTGCTGCGACACAGGCCGCTTGGACTCACCTAGCAAAGCGAAGTGGAGCTGTGCAGGACAGCACCGTGCACATGCAGGGAGAAAGCTCCATGTCCCCTTCAGGCAGCGCACCCCAGTGGTCCACCCGGTCAGGCTGTTACTGCTCAGCTTGGAGCCACCAGCACTGTTGATAAACACATGTGTTTGGAAGCTCCTGCTTACAGCAACAGTGTGTGTGCTGTGGGCTTAGGGAACAGCTGCTGGGGCATGCTCTAACCTGCCTGTGCTTGAGAGGGGCCATTGGCCCTCCCACTTCTCCTGTTGCTGGTCTAAGTGTCCAGGGCACAAATGTCCCACTACAGTCCACTCCCGACAAAGAGACTATGATTGTTCCCCTGGGAAGAGGCTTGAACGTTCTAACCAAAATGTAGCCTCTTTTCCTGCAGAAGCTGAAGTTCAAAACCTTAAAGGGAATGTATTCATCAGTGTGTGCATAAGGCAGGAGCAGAAGAACACAGTGAGAACACTGGCGTCACTCATTCCCCTGTGGAGAGCAGGAGAGAGCCACATGGACCACAACCCTGTTTTTCCTGATGTCACTGTAGCCTCGCTGACCCCAGAGCCGGGCCGGTTTCCTTGTTGCTGGAACAGACGGGAGGCCCCCTGCCGCTCACAAGCGCTTCCATCCTTTAGCCCATTTTGCCTCTATGGCCCTTGTGATTCCCAGACCCTCTCTTAAATTAAATTCGTGTCCTTGTTCCTCAGCCGCTACTCTGTGTCTCTGCTGTTTGCCTCCACTGTGCAGGAAGACTTGACATGCGTGAGCTGTGACAAGCTGAGCCAGACCCTGCCATTGCCCGGTCCACAGGAGAGGGATGTGCCAGTGACTCGGAGCAGCCCCCGCTGACCCTGAGAACTCTGATGGGAGTGACAGCGACAGCGACCGGGGAGGGGACCCCCTTCCCTCTGTGCTGGTCTCCCAGCATGTGGCCTCACTGGAGGCAGAACCCGAGTCCTGTGTGGTAGGGCAGCACACTTGCTGATTCTGCTTGGTCACAGCATTGACTGTCCTGTGTGCATTTTCTTCCCCTGAGCACAGGCCAAGCACCCTCACACATTCCTGCTTCTCCCAGAGAGGATGGGCTGGCATCAGCCTCTTGCATCTAGAGAAACCAAGAGAGGAAGAGCTCAGATCTCCTCTGTAATTACAGAAAATTTGAAGTAATGGAAAAATTATCATGTTGCTTAAAATTATCAGAAAAGACTCCTTTAACAATTGATCACATTGCATCATGTTAGTCTAAACACTGATTTGTCAACAAATCCCAGGAGTTACAACTACAGCCCGTTTTAGCTGACCCAAGAGTTCTGATGGGTGCTCACCAGCCTTAACTGCCCAGAGTCCCCTGTAAACCATTTCACACCCAGAGAGCAGTTTTCAGATGGGGAAAGCATGTCCTCAGCCTGTAACACGGTTCAGGAAACACGTGTTCAGTGATGACTCCATACTGGAGCCTGAAGAGCTAGAAGAGAGACTTCCCTTGGTCAGCGTAATTCGCAATGGAGTGGGCGAGACTGATGTCTTGACCCAAATTACAAATGGGGGCAGAGAATACGATCCTGGGAGCAGGTGAGAATAGCATGACTTGCTTTGGGGGGTGATGCAATAAGAACTCAACATTCAAAGAGAGGGGAATATTCCGGTGGACAAGGGTTATCTGCAACTGATCCCAGGGCAACAGCATGTGCGAAACAGGGGAGGAGGAGAGAGGAGCAGCCAGTGGACAGCGCAGAGGTGGGCACGTGTGCCTGAGAGCGAAGTTAAAGCTGAGAGGTACACCTGCGGGGTTCGACAAGGGCGGAACATGGACAAACTGGTACACCACGCTGGGGTGTTTGTCCATCTTCCCGAAAGCCTGGGGTCATAAAAGCACTGTAAGCAAGACTGTGTGTCGGTTTTAGAAACCCCCTTGTGACTGTGTGCCCGAGAAAAGGTCGTGAGGTTTGTGCAGTAACCCAAGCACAGATGGATCGCTGAGGTCTGGGTGCGCAGGAACTGATGGGATAGTGAGGAGCAGAGAGCAGGGGAGGTGAAGGCAGTGACCGGAATGCAATCCTGTCGTTTGCAGCAAAATGGAAGAAACTGGAAAACATCACATTTAGTGAAATAAGCCAGTCCCCAAAGGACAAATACCATACGTTCTCCCTGACCTGTGCTAACTAATAGAGCACCTGAAAGGTAATCTATAGAAGTGAAATTGACAATTTCAGATGTGATGAATAAACTGCCCTTCTCACAGCTGTTGTGGAATAGTTTTTTTTTTAATATATATTATTTGTTGAACTCTACTTAGTATAGAGTTAATCTTATGTGTGTAAAGTTAATTGAAAATAGATTTTGGTAAAAAATAAGAATAGCAAAGAGAGGAGAAAGAAGGGTGGGAGTGTGGGTGGGAGGGCGGGTACAGTGGCAGAATCACTATGTCCCTAAAGTTATATTTATGCAATGCATGAAGTTTGTATACCTTAAATAAAAGGCTTCTGGGGGAACATTTTTAAAAAGCATATAACTGTATCTGTGATAAAAAATATTTATTTATCTACTTGAAAGACACAGAGAGAGGGAAAGAGAAAGAGGGAGAGAGGGAGAGACACAGAGAGGTCTTCCATCTGCTGGATCTCTTCCTGAATGGCCACAATGGCTGGAACTGGGCTGGTCCAAAGCCAGGAGCCGGGAGTTTCCTCTGGGTCTCCCATGTGGGTGCCATCTTCCGCTGCTTTCCCAGGTGCATCAGGAGGGAGCTGGATTGGAAGTGGAGCAGCTGGGACTTGAACTGGTGCTCACAGAGGATGCCAGTGTTGCAGGAGGCAGCTTAACCTGCTGTGCCAGCCCCTGAATTACTCTTTTTTTTTTTTGCTTTGTAATTTCCAATCATTTAAATATTAAAGAGCTGCTACGTTTGTACTTAAAGCTTTATTTTGTATTGTCGCATACAGCTGTTACACGGTTCTTGTCCTTAAAATCAAATTGAATAAATAATTTGATAAAGTAACTGTTTGATCCATTGCACTTCCGTGCTTCCCCTGCGTCTCTGTCCCTCTTCAGCACTAGCTGCTGCACTTGCAGAGAGCAGGGAATGAGAATCCTGCCTCAGTCCTGCACAGGCTGTGCTCACTCTCTGCCCAAGAAGTCTCATGAAATGCACAGTGTTCGTTCTTACCTTCCTCCCAGCATCCGAGGCTTTAACGCTTTGTACTCCAGACAAATATAATTCAAAATGAGCCAAAGCCTGAATGAAGTTGAAAACCATTGGTGGGCGGAGCCAGCACTGTGGCGAAGTGGCTAAAGCTCGCCGCCTGCTGTGCCTGCAGTGCC